GAAGAATAGCGACTGTGAAAATGAATATTTTACCAAAACATCTTTTTTTATTTCAAACAATACCTGTAAAAATAGAATTTCTTTTGATGATTTGAATAGATTGATCTTGAAATTTATTTGGCAAGGAAAGAAATCCAGAATCAAATTGAAAATGCTACAAGAAACTAAAGAAAATGGAGGATTTGGACTACCAGATAGGGCCTTATACTACCAAGCATGTGCTCTAACGTGGCTAAAAGAATGGATAACTCTTAGAAATAAAAGGTTATTATATTTAGAAGGACATGATTTACAACTTGGGTGGCATTCATTTTTATGGTATCAAAAAAATAAAATCCACCCCAATAAATTCTTAAGCACCACTAATTGTGCATAAAGCAAGCCAATACTGGTAAAAGATGGAAAACATAGGATCAGATAAACATAGTTATGTGGCCTCAGCGACACTCTAGAATGAGATGAAAGCTGAGTTCTGAGATGTCCTTAAAGAATGGTTAAGAAGGAATCTTCATGATGCAGTCAGCAGGGCTTGTGAATGAAGCGAGGAATGTTTCTGGGCAAAAGAAATGAGCAATGGCAGCAATAGTGGAAACAGGCTGCTGGGATTTTAAAAAAGATAAAAAATGTTGCACTTATTGATATTATGAGCACATTTGCAAAGCATTTTAAGCCATAATGTGCTATGCTTTTTCACCAACCTCAAAGTTAAGCAAACCAGGCTTAGTATGATGGTGAATCAACCTTGTCTCATAATTTCAGAGACCTGGAGATAATATTTCTAAGACTAAAGTGAGACAGAAAGAAGAGAGGTACAGTTCACCTGGAACAAACCTTATAAATATATGTAACAAATTGTGTTTGCACAACATGATCACTTATAGCTAATTTAACCAAGTGGATTTTATGGATTTGTACAACACCATAAACTAATAATACAGTCCGAGTTCACTCAATATATTAGACAAAACGGTAGTTGACTAATTTGGGGTTCTGTGTTATTAAAGCCTGAGTTTGCTCCCATCTTCCACTTCTATGCTTATAGCTGGGGGGGGGGGGGGCAAGCCTGAGAAATTATCAGTGTTTAATGATGTATTTGAACCAAATTTAATTCCTGGGTGGGTTTTTTTTTTGGCAACTGTATATACTGCCAGGTAGTAGGTTGACTTCCCAGCCATGGGGTGCTTGGTGGTATTAACCTTGCTTAGTTTCAGCGTCCAGAAAGGGCCAGTAGTCAGATTTGGCTATTCTCAGCTACAACCTGAAATCTTCTTGCATGACCCAAATTCTGCAGGGATCTCATCAGAAGATGGAGAGAGTGAAAAAACTGAGTTGGAAGCAAAATGGTCGTCTCCAGCCTAATGCTAAATCACGGAGGGAGATGTTAAACGTGGATCGACAAAATAAAGAGGGGAAAAGTAGCTAGCTATAACCGGATGGGAAGCTGAACAAATTTCCTTCCATTCTGGCTTCCTGGATGGGACAGCAGCAGGTGGACCCCAGAGGATCTTTCTAAGGAAGCTAGCTAGATGTGAGACCATTGACGGGAGCTTCCATCTTCCCCTCCCCTCCCCGCCATCTGCTCGGCCCCACTTTGGCTCAAACCACACCCACCCCTTCTTCCTTCCCCTGGGGAGCTGAAGGCAGCAGTCAGCCCTTGCCAGTTGCCAGGAAGCGCTCGTAGGCGATGCCCTATGATTGGAACGCTGGGCTCATCCATCACGGCGGCGGCGGCGGCGCGCGCGTAGGGGGCCTGCTTGCTCATCTTAGCCATCAGGAGGGGCCATGCCGAGGCTACGAGTTTGAGGAGGCTAGTAGTCGGCTCCCTGGGCAGGCGAAAGACGACCACAATCTACCCTGGCTTTCACCATGAGTCCGGCGTGAGCTCAGCCGACAGCACAGGCGTCTCCATGGTGCAAGACAGCGGCATGTCACGCACACCTTACAGCTCCAGCCAAGACATCCAAATGGAGGTCTTAGACAACCCTGGCCTCCAGGTGCGTAACCGCCAGCCCGCTCTTCAGTCGGCTGCACCGGTCGGACGCCTTGCAGCCCATTGGGATGAGGACAGCTTGGCTGTGATGTGGGAAACTTTGGACGTGGCGATCGTGTCCGAAAGAAAGGAGGGGCGGGGAGAAAATCAGAAGAATCGCGGCGGCGGGAGAAGGAGGGAGTGGAGAGATCCAGTGGATGCGACCGGGGGACCTTGCGAGAGCCGATCCGGGCTGAGGCACCCACATTCTGTGCTGAATTATTTCCTCCCCCCCCCCTCCAATCTAGCATGTAACTGAGAGAAACGTTGATGCTGGAAGAGGATGGGGTGGAAGAGCACGTTGTAGGTTTTCATGGATCGTCTCTATTGCCTCTGTTCTTGAACTGTCGACCACCCAAGAATAGTCAGGCTCTTTGGGATGGGTGGATGGGTGCTGAGGTGCGATTCACAGAGTAGGACATAAGGGGATGCAGCGATGGCTGTATGGGGGTTCCGGGTAGCCGTTCGGTCCAGTGAAAAGTATCGCTCAGCTTCAGGCCCTTCTCTTCTCCCTTGCGATCCTTAAATCTGTCCAAAGCCATCAGTGGCAGCACTTCCAGACCAGACCGAAAGTGAGGGATCTCTCTGCCTCGATCCTCGGGGAGGAGGAGATATACAATAGGATCTTGTATCTGTGCCTTTTCTTATTTTCTTAGTTCCTCTCCCTCCTACCCTCAATTCCCAATATAAATTGATTAAGAGTAAGATACTTTTGAGGCTGGTAATAAGAGAAGCTCCTCAGGCTGATTCTAAGAACTTTTGAGGTGCACCAGCCTTTGACTACTAGTGCATCTTTCCAGATGTGCCAGAATTTCTAGCCAGTTGTGACCAGGAAAGTGGCCTGGGAATTAAATGACTACCATTCTTTGCCACTGACATTTAAATGTTTCATCTGGCTTTCTTCTCAAATAGAAATCAGGACTAGTAGATTCAGGATTGGTAATGATCCCCCCAGTTTATGTAAGAAGATATTCTTAGGGATCTCAATAAAGATAATTAATTATGTATCTAGCTATGGAGAAAACCTGGGAGTAATAAAGGTTTTATCTCTTCCTACACTACTTCAGGATAGATAGTTCTATCTTTCAGGATAGAACAAGATTCATGGGTGAAATGTCCTAATCTGGAGAAAAATGATTTGTTTATATCTTCATTCTTTCAGATGTGTTAGACTTTGTTCCCAAATCTTCTACTTCTGCGTTTTAACTTTCCAAAGCAAGGAGTTTATATTCAACATCTAATAGTTACAGCATAATGACACCATATTGACTATTGCTAAATGTTTGTTTAGCTGCTAATTTTAGCTATAAGAGCTCCCAAAACAACATTTACTGGGTGGATTATTGGAAAATTGCTGGTGTTTTTATCTGCCAGCCACTTTTTTAAGGGATAAATTATTGGCCCAGACTGAAAACAAGGGATTCTCAGAAACTGCTGTACTATATGGTTTTGATGAGCAAAAGAGAGAAGGAGAGAAATATTGAATATTAATAACTCTAGACAGGCAGTGGGAGTTGGCAAATGCCAACATACTCTTTATTTTGATGTATGTGGATAATGAGAGAATAGAAGTCAGTGGCAGAATATTTTAAGAGAAGAGGTTGAGCTACATGAGTCCTTTGATATGATCCCAAGGATAGAAAATATCCGTTTTCTTGTGCTCACTTATGAACAACAGGAGCTTAATTTTTTTTCAAAATAAAGGTAGATCTTAGAGGGAGGAAAAGGAAGAGAGACAGAGAGAGATCAAGTTGATAAGGAAGTAGCATCTCCAATGCTCTCCCTTGATGGAAGAATCAGATGGAATGAAAGATACTATTTTAGATTTTTCTGTGATGAATGTGTGGTCCCTCACAAGAGCTAGCCTCAAAAGCAATGCTAAATTGAGTATGTGTGAGGCAGTAGTGGGCTGTTTGGAGCTAAAACATCTTTTGGCAATTCTTTTGTCCTGGTCTTCATGGTCCTCCACGTGTTGGATCCTGACTGCGTATTGCAGCTATGAGTGACGCATGTGCCTGATTTAGAACAGGGAGAGGAAAAGCCTAAAAATACCAGCCTCATCTCTGCCTTTCTTTCCTGCCCTGCTTGACTTTAGAACTACAAGAACCTTGTCTGTGGGGGCCTAATAACAATGGGTTTCTCCTCAACCAGCTGTCCTTTCTCTCTCTAGAGACATGCTTGGGAAGCATCTGGCTCATTCCTGGTGTGCCTCCCCCCATCAATGCAAAGGGTTGGTTCATGGGGGAGGGAACATTCTCCCTTGGGATATGGCAGAGGCATGATTCTTAGAAGCAGGTGAAGGAAAGAAGCTTAAATTGATATCCTCTCTCCTAAAAAAAGGAACTTGGCGTTGCTAGCTTGCTATGAAAAGAAAAAGCCACAGGTTATAACTGTAGTGGGTGTAAGAATTAACTGACCAGCAAATATATGGGGGGAAGGTATCTTCCTGCTTAGAATTACATGTGTGGAGGGAGAAGAGCCCTCTTTTCCTTTTTAATTCCAGTAGAACCTCTTAATTTCCTCAAATGAAAATTGCACTAAATGCCCTGACTTTTTTCTGCTCAATAATCTTCTGATTAGATTATATCACCTACAGTGTAATATTGATCCTCACAGGCTCAGAAAATTATTCATGAACTCTCAGTAGGCTTTCCCACAGCTTTGATAAATCAGCTTTGATATTCAATTTGGATGATTGAATTAAAAAAAGATTCATGGTTAAAGAACATGGACATTTAGCAGTTCACAGCTTACCCTCTTAAAAACTGGATTAGAAATCTGGTTGCTGAGATGTGAAAAACAATAAACTACCAATGTTTCTCACTCAGCTTGGAAAAAAGTGAGGAATGTTGGTTATGATTCATAAGTGGGCCAATTCTTCCTAACTTTTCCTAAAGAAGATATCCTAGTGGAATTTTCTCCAAACAACTATATTGACCAACAACAAAAAAAGAGCAACAAAAAAGTAAATATGGCAATTGCAACCCTTACAACAAAGTTCCACCCTTTATATGTGTTGCATATAAGGGTAAGAAATTTAATAATCCAACCAAACCAATAAAGGATTCTCCCATTGCAGAATTCTGGATATAATGCGTCTAAAAAAGCAAGTGTTTTTCAACAATAGTTCTTTTTCAAATTACAATGTATTGCAAAGCCATGGCAAGTGATACAACATTGTTAGGCTCAAAGTTTTGTGTCTTGCTGCAGTGCTGACTTGTGTGAATTTAGGGAACTGACTAGGTGTATCAGAACAAAAGCAAGACATTTATGTGCCATTGGGGTGTATTTACACTTCATAGAATTGTTTGATTTTTTTTAATGCTCTTCTGCTTTGCATTTTTGCTTTAGTAGCATTGTAACAGACCTTTATAACTGGATTCACAGAGCACGGTAAGTCATAGCACAGTTTATTTAATGAAGAGATTGCCATGCTATTGATGTTTTGAACCATGACTTATGATTTAGTATTATTTGTGAATCAGGTCACTGTGTCTTGTTCAAAAACAAGTGAATTTGGTGAAACAAATAGATGTTTTCTGCAGCATGCAATGGCACCTGCAGCATGGTCGCTGAGGAATTCTGGGAGTTGAAATCAACACAACTTAGTGACCACAGTTGAGAAACATTGAGTTAAAGAATATGGAACATGTTGTTCAACTGTCTGAAGATGGGGTTTATATTATCTCTTTGCTGGATTAGAGTATAGCATTGTGTGTATCCACACTTTTTGTCAACTACTTGCTTACTTGTATATGTTTTTCTGCATTTGTGCTACTCTTGACCTTTGTATGTTTTTTCCGTTAGGGGAAGTATAGCAAAAGGAAGAACCGCTTCAAACGCTCTGATGGCAGTACCTCTTCTGACACAACATCGAACAGCTTTGTCAGGCAGGTAAGCAACCCCAAAAAAAGAAAAAAAAGGAGGATTATCATGATGGGCAAGGGATGGCTACTAAATTCATGGGTTAGAAATTAAAGACTTGGGTTGATGTCATACTAAACTGTAGTTTGCTGTTTTTCTGCATTTCTGTCTTGCCTTCCATTCAATTTTAAGTCCTGTCAACTGCATGGACTAGTTCCTTGCATTTGTGAAATAATTTGCCATGGCTTATATTAGAACTCCTGCTCTCTAACATGGTGCTTCCACCATTACACCAAACTCTTGCTTAACATATATTATTAAATTATAAAGTTCATGCTTGGCCATAAGGTAGTATTCTGAGGTAAGTATATTTCTAAATTCAGTCATGGGGCTTTTCCTCACTTGCACCTAGCCATGACACAAACAACTTTTTAGCAACTTTTTTCTGCCATGTTCCCATGAGACTCTCCACCTCCAGGAGTATCTGCAGAATGTGGTCAAACAAGTCAAGATGGCAGTCACAATACTGATTGAAGCTCCATCTGCTTTTTATGTACAACATACACAAAAAAGCTTGGAGCTTCAATCACAATCTCATGGCCACCATCTTGCCTTTTTTGACCACACTCCCTGAAAATCCAGCCCAACATGAGTAAAGCAAGTTTAAACCATTCTCAGCTATAATACTTTTTAAACCCCATCTCTTTTTCAAGCATCCGCCAAGGGCACCTCAAGGAAAGTGAAACAATCCGGTGGCTGAAACAAAGACAATGAAGGCTGAATTAAAGGATAAACCATGGGGACAGCACATATTATGCTGATAGCAAATGTTAGCCTAAATTAGTTTTCTGCTGACTCAAAGGCAGGTGAACAGCCCTTCAACTCAACAATGGGGAAACCCCATGGTTTATATATTGTCAAAGTATTTCCCAACCATGATGAGTTCCAGGTAGTAATTTTCAACTCCCAAAATTCCACTGCCACAACCATTGATAAGAATTTGTTGATATCCAGTCACCGGGGACTTGCCATGGTGGAAATACTCTTCTTAACAATGTACTTTAATTTCAGAATTCACATATTTCTGGAAAAACATTTCCTACCCATCAGCAACCTTTTTATTGCAAGGTTGCCATTTTCTTCACCTGTTGTACGTATGCAGCTCAGAGAAGAAGAAATAAAGGGAATTTGAATGTGGGGAAAAAATTCTTCCCATGTACACTTCAGTAATTTCTTCTTTGGTCTACACTTCATCTGTTTACTGTACTTTTTATTTGTTTCCTTTCTATTTCTCATCTGTTTTTCAAAAATTTGCCACTAAATCAAAGTCTCTGAAGTTTTTGGGGAAATAAAATAATGAGACACTTATTTCATCCTTTTCATTTCATTTCCAAGATGTACATCTACAATTTATTTTCCTACTCTTGTCCCCACTTATCCTAAAGATGTACCAGTTTCCCCCCCCCACACACACTATATTTCATTTTGCAATTATAAGTCCATGCCTTTCCCCATATGAAGTAGTAAAGTGGCTGAGAAAAATTCCCACTGAGAATCAAAATTTGATTTTTGAATTTGAGAACACAGTCTAAAGCATACTCCTAGGTCTCTTTTCATAAAGTGCTCTGAAAATAAGGCAGCAGCAGATGGTAGTTGGGAATGTGGGCTGTAATCCTCTATTTATGGACCTGGGAGAAAGCTGCTCTGGCTGAATAGCACTGATTCTTGAGTAACTATAAAGTTTGGATCTATGAAATGGAACCCTTCAGTATATGAAAGATCTAAATGACTGAAGAAACAGAGGCAGAGGGGAAAGGTATTCTATGTTGAGATGATGAACAAAGAGTTGGTCATACATGATGATAAGCCAAATGCAGTCATCTGTTGAGCTCTTAAATTATGCTGGGGAGGAGACATGTTTCAAGGTTTTCAGGATTAACCTCTGTTAAACCTGCTGAAGAACATGCTGTAATTCTAATGTGTTTTCTACCTTAAGATGGTGAAAAATATTATCACCATTTTTCAGCAGTAATAGCAAGACATTCTGTGGTATGAAGAAACTTCAGTGGGTTGACTATAAATTTGCCACCCAAGTATTATGATAAGCTTCCATTGGTTTATCAAAATAGGGTGTTCATATTTCTAGAGGTCACATCAATATTTACAGTGAAACCTTGCTCTAAAGGGCATCTGTAAGCAATGGGTTCTGGTTATTCTTGAAAGTGTGAGGTGTTTCAGATGATGAAAATTAAGGGCAGTGATATCATTTGTATAACACGAGTTACTACAGAATTTTGTCTAATGCATGGGAACTCTATTCAGTTGAACTCTGGAACATCTAGATTTCCAGGTCAGGTCAATGTTCTCAGTTCTTTCAATGTATAAAATAGGCTACTGGCTTAGGAGCTTTAATAAATGTCTACAAAATCTCCCACCACAATATGACTTCAAAAACTACAATATCACCTGGTTCAGGTAGTCCAAAATACCAAGTCTTTGAGTTGACTAACCTGCCAAGTAACATGCATTTAGTTTTTAAATCAATAATTTTTAAAACAGCTGAACTGAGTTGATTCAAAATAATAACGAAAGACCTATTTTACATAGACCCACTTTTCCTCTAAGGTTGCCCACTAATAACAGAATAACAGAGTTGGAAGAGACCTTGGAGGTCTTCTAGTCCAGCCTCCTGCTCAAACAGGAGACCCTATGCCATTCCAGACAAGTGGCTATCCATTCTCTTCTTAAAAGTCTCCAGTGATGGAGCACCCACAACTTCTGAAGGCAAGCCATTCCACTGGTTAATTGTTCTCACTATTAGGACATTTCTCTTTAATTCTAAGTTGCTTCTCTCCTTGATTAATTTGTAGCCTCCAATCCCCTAATCATCTTTGTTGCTCTTCTCTGCAATCTTTCCAAAGTCGCAATATCTTTTATATAATGTGGTGACCAAAACTAAATGCAGTATTCCAGATGTTGTCATACTAAGGTTTTATAAAGTGGAACTAATACTTCACATGATCTTGACTCTATCCCTTTGTTTATGCAACCAAGGATTGCTTTAGCTTTTTGGGCTGCTGCCGCACACTGCTAGCTCATATTTAAGTGATTGTCCACTAGGACTCCAAGAACTCTCTCACAGTTATTGCTTTTGAGCCAGGTTTCACCTAATCCATGCTTGTACATTTGGGTTTTCCTGTATAAGTGTAAAACCTCACTTTTCTCTACATTAAATTTCATTTTGTTGGATAGGGCTCAGTGTTCAAGTCTATCAAGATCCTGAGCATATCATCTGGGGTATTGGCTATTGTCATCTGCAAATTTGATGAGTTCCCCTTCTATCCCTTTGTCTAAATCAGGCATGTCAAACTGCCAGCCTGCGGGCCGGATGTCATATCATACTGTGTGTGTTTGTGTGTGTGTTTGTGTGTGTGTTTGTGTGTGTATACGTACACACACACACACACCATATGGAGTTTAACAGCAATTGGGAAAAAGTCCCGATATGTCGTGCAACGTCATGTGACGTTGCGAGTGTGACATGCCTGGTCTAAATCATTGATGAAGATATTGAAGAGTACTGAGCATAAGATAGAACCTCATGGTATCCAACTGCTTACTTCCCTCCATGTAGATGTAGTATTATTAAGGAGTATGTGTTGAGTGCAGTTTGTCAGCCAGTTACAAGTCCATCTGGTGATGATGTTGTCTATCTCACTTTTTTTTTAGTTTACAAAGAGGGTCTAGGACGTTTAGGTGCTGACCCTTGATCGTGCCCACTTCATTCCCAGCCAACCATTGCTGCTGAACTACAGCAAGTTTTCCTTCTCCCCTGGACCACTGCCAGCGATTGTCCACCACCAATTGCCCCCTGGCCATCCGGCCCCATGTTAGGAAATTTCTACTTAGTTTTAGGTTGCTTTTTATGGATAAAGCATCGTAATTTGATTTGAAACCCAATATTTTTCATGCAAACATTGTGGCATTAAGTGTATGCATTTAAAGTGATTCTGACATAAGTAAGGATCTCAGTACTTCCCAGAATTAAAGGGATAAAATAACTTTCAAAATGAATCCACAGAGGAATTTCTGAATTTCCAGTTCCTTATTCAAGCCAGCATTTGAGCCTAAAATTAATATTCAACAATAATCCTGGAAAAGTATGAAAAATTAATTCTACTTTTCTCAATAGATCATTGCAATTTTCATAATTAAAATATCACAGCATGTGTTTGCCAAAGAAATGTATTTAAAGCCCTATATATTTGCTTAAAGTAATTTAATAAAATAGAAACTTCAAAATAGAAATCAACCTTGGAGCTAAATATATCTGAATCGCATTTATCTTATTCTACATACTTAAAACAATTATAGAGTCTCTGTCTAGATCTTTATTCATTCTTATCAAGGTAGAGAAGGTAGAAATTAAAATTTGCTAACAGAGAAAACTTACAAACAAAATTTATTCTAAGATAAATGAAGGAATCTATACACAACCTAAAAACTTAGTCCAGATTATCAGAAGGAATGCTATAACTGAATGTATAAATATTGATTAATAATTGATTACGTGCATCAAGTCATTTTCAACTTCTAGCCAACATATGAATAGATTTTCTCCATATGTTATGGATAGATTTTCTCCATATGTTATGGTTAGATTTTCTCTATATGTTATAGATAAATTTTCTTCATATGTTATAAACATTTTTGATGTTAAACTCCATATGCTGTATGTGTGTGTGTGTGTATATATATATATATATATACACACACACACAGTATATATATATACACACACAGTATGATATGACATGAACTTTTTGATTTATAAATATAAAGCAAAATCTTATGCTCTGCCAATTCACTCCTATAATTCTTTTAAGACTTTCAGAAGTTATACTAGCACTTGGAAGAAGTTTTAAAGCAAGATGTAAATAAAAGAGAGATAAAGAGCATCTTTGATCATATTTCACAACCAGCCAGGCAAAGGTGGTGGTGTCAAAATCAGTGGACAGAGCTTGTGATTC